GAGCGGCTTGCCACTAGCAAGTTCTGCTTAAACCTGTTACATGAACACATTGAAAGAGAATCCAAAGCCTTTATGTGTTTCCCATCAGATAAAATGCATGGAGGAAAGAAAATTAAGTCAGCAAAAGTTAGAGCTAGGCTACATAAATCTTTTACTGTAGCAAACTAAGGGAATGACTAGTTCAAAGCAATACACAGTGAAACAGAAATCATTTTCTCCAGTTCTATCTACCTTAGATAGTATCAATTCCTTCCTTAAAACAAGGAAGAAATTTTATAAGAATTAAGAGAGGAGAAGCTGGAATTGGTTAGGGAGATTTAAGTATTTGCTCTTAGGAGCTTTTTGTTCTTTTATTTTTAAAAAATCTGGATCAGCTGTTATAATTTGTATTATATTTTAAATTAAGGGCCAGCAAATGGTGTCCAAAGTAAGTGTTATTTTTTGGACTTGTTCTCTTCGTGTATATCAATAGGTCTATCTAGGAATTATGACAAACTCATACAGTCCTTTAGCAGACCTTCAAGTGTTGGCAAAGAAACGAATGTCCACATAGTTACATATCCCATAGAGTGGATCCTTTTACCTCAACGGTCAGCATCACTGTGAATTGTGGGTAAGAGTAATGGGCTGAACTTTTCACACAAAAAATGACCTCAACCTCTAGCTAACTGCTGTGGCTCAGAGGTGATTACTTTTTTCCTTTTTCAAAGGGAAGCTGCTGCTTCAGCATCTTCTCCTGGAGCCCCTGGCACAGTTTCCGTCCATGTGTCAGGGGAACCTCTAAGTGTATCACTATGACGGAAGCCAACTGCTGGCCCGAAAGCATTGAGGACTGTTTGTTCACAGAAAAACCTGAGCAGAACGCAGGTGTTACATAGTTCAAAGGTGCCTTGAAGAAAACTGATGCTGTTGTAGGAGGGGACTTTCAGGCTCAAGTTATTTCTCAGTTGCTCTTCCATAGTCCTCTCCCAGCCTTTAGGGAGTCTAACCAATAGTTTTTGCTTGGGTGTTTTTCTCTGTTTAGTTCCTTGACTTAGCAAGATTTTGGGCAGTTAAAGAATTTTCATGTATTTTTAAGGAGAGCCACAGTGTATCCTTCTCTGGCAGGGGTAGGGGGAAGTATTTTATTAATGAATGCAGTATGTGTTCTTGGTAAAAGCCAAAATTAAACTGCTCACTGTTTTTGTACTGTTAGCTGTCGACATTTAGGTGTGTTGCTTGGTGTGGTGACTCAATTTCCTGTAGGATAGTTGGCAACTCCACTTTGAGGTTTGTTTGGAGGGATGAAAAGTTCAGTTACTTGATGTCTTAGAACATTTGGGGTTAAAATTCCTAAAAGTGAAGCTTTACTAATGATCCTGCATGGCTTGCTATATTGCCTCTTCACCTAGAAATTTGGAAAAAAAGCAATAGTCTCAGCTCTATGCAAATATCAAGAATAAGTCTTTATTTGAGCAACTGTTTCACAGAACAAATTGTTCTTTACTTTGTTGTTAGTAATTATTTTCTCATTAGTATGTAGATGTGTTCCAGTGATTTTTTTTTATTTTTCGTATTTATACAGAAGGTATTAGAACTTAACATGCATGTATATGCCACTTTATAATCATATTTGGTTTCTGTCTGTCAAGATGGCTAGTGCAGCTGGGCGTGGTGGCTCATGCCTGTAATACCAGCACTTTGGGAGACTGAGGCAGGCAGATCACAAGATCAGGAGTGCGAGACCAGTCTGACCAACATGGTGAAACCCTGTCTCTATTGAAAATACAAAAATTAGCCTGGCATGGTGTCACATGCCTGTATTCCTCCAGCTATTCAGGAGACTGAGGCGGGAGAATTGCTTGAACCTGGAAGGTGGAGGTTGCAGTGAGCTGAGATCACACCACTGCACTCCAGCCTGGGTGACAGAACGAGATTCCATCTCAAAAAAAAAAAAAAAAAAAGAAAAAAAAGAAAGAAAGAAAAAAGGCTGGTACATGAATGACTTGGACATAAAATGGATATGGATATTCTGAAATAAATTGTTCCTCCTGTCACTATACTACCTTCTTAAGAGCAAATCCTGTGTCTAAAGTGCATGATGTCTTGAAGCATTAGCTAAAACTTTCCCAAATTACTTTTTTGCATTAAAAAATAACTGAAATATAATGTGTGGAGCCACATCCTGTTAGATTTGAGGCCTGAGTTTGTACTTGTGATTTCTGAAAAGCTTTGGAAACTTGGTGAAAATGTGGGCAGGGGGCAGTTTACTTAGCTACTTGGAAGTCACTTGGGGTTCAGGCTTTGTGAAATTGAAGTGCAGAGGAGAGTAACACAGAAAGCCAAACCTCAGAGGGGACTCATGGCTTCATTGTAACCAGTGATTGAAAACATGGCACTGAACAAATCCCAGACACAGTGGCTATGCATATTTAATCCACTGGATAGGTTAACTATGGACAGCTCAAATAATCATAAAACAAGTCAATGTCCTCTTAAAATTTCTTACATTCCTATCTTATACAGTAAAGAGAGGAAAATCTCAAAACCAACCCATATAGTAGATGTACTACCATGGCAACTAGGTGATGCTATACTTGCATATGGAAATTATTCAGTAAAACAAAAATGATTGTGTTAGGGCCATAGGCAAAAGTATTGTTTGTGATGGTTAGGGTGTGGGGTTACAACGGATTTTCTATATTTGGGTGCAATGCTTCAATTTTTATAACAAGCATGTAATATTTTTACATTCTTAGAATTGGGGAAGCTATACAGATCAAGTATTTTATACTTACCATTTAAAATTATTAATATCTTTAAGCTTGTTCCTTTTGTTAAGGAAAAAAAAAAAGCTTGAATCTGAAACTTTAATTCACCTGGCAAGGTTTAGGCAGTTGTTTGTCCATCTAAAGTATATATTTACATAGACTGTGGGATGGAGGAAGTAGAACAAAAAAAGGCAAATTTTAACCTAGAGTACTCAAAGTGAACAGTAAATAGTTCAAGAATTCTTGATAACAATAAGCCATGGCACATGTAGCAAATACTTTAAAAGTTATTCTAACTTTAACAAATTTAATATAAAAAGCTATCTGAAAAATCTCAGGAGCCTAAATTCAGTGCATGAATTTCTTTGTTGTGCCACTGATAGTTTATGGAGTCTAAATTTCAAGGGCAGAATTTCTTCTCCACCAATACCTGTACATTCAAAGATGAAGACAAGGGCTCCCACCACTTCGTGTAAGTTTCTCAGTATTTTCTTTCTACTCGACAATGACAAAGTTTTATAATATGAACTCTTGGGAGTTTGACTTCTCCCCCCTGCGAATGGTTTGCTTATTGCACGCTAATGTAGGGAAGTTCTTCCACAACTGATCTGCTTAGGAAGAGTGCCCTTGGTCCCCCAGGTTAGCCTTTCTAAACAGAGCAGACTTCCCTATACCTTTGAACATGTTCTTTTTGTTTTCTCAAAATTGTAGTGTACTCTGCACATGGTGGGTAGAAACACCCTTCCAGATTTTCTTCCTTGACCCAAGATCATGGAGGTCTTGTGCAATTCACAGGGGAAAGAAGTAGTATGCAGGACATACGTAAATTCTTCTCACCATGTGCTTCATCCACACTGCTGTTCCTTTAAGATCACTCTTAGGCAATTCCGAATATGAAAATGCAGCCTACTGTCAAATCGGTGAATTATAAAGCATTCCGACCCCACAACATTGTGTATTTTGTTTGCTTGTTTCTGTCCGCCCCAACATTTAGAAGTCTGCTACTCAGTAGGGGCTGGGCTTGGTAGAAAAAGAATGCAGTTTTAGTAGAAATGCGGGTATTCCCACAACCCTGCCTCCTTGAAGTAGGTGACTCTTAAACCTTCAGAAACGAATCCCCAGAAACCCTAAAACTTAAACCCTCAGAAACCTTGAGGGTCCCAAATAACCTTGTATGCGAAACTTCTCTGAAAGCAACCAGCAGTGGAGACGCAGAGGGTCCGGCAGCGGTCGGGGCAGCCTGGAGAGCAGCGGCTCCTCGGGGCAAGCGGGGTTCCCGTGGGGCAGGTGTGAGGCTGTGCGCGCCTGCGCGACGGTCCCTCCTGAGCCCCGCGGCGGGCTGGACCCCGGGCGGCGGGCTGCAGGCGCTCCACGCCGGGTTTTCCGCCGCTCTCCTCGCACAGACAGTCCCACAGCAGCCCCACAGACACACGCGCTCGCACCTCCTCGGCTGCGCTTCAAAGCGAGCGGCGCCCAGCTGCGCGGGGGGATGGCACGGGGAGGCGGCGGGGCCGCAGGGGCTGAGCCCAAGGGGAAGGACGTGGCCGGTGGCACCTACAGGCTTTTGCAATTCGGAATCTTTTCGTAAGGAGGCTGAGGAGGAGCCAGGCAGCGCCGCGGGCCTGGAGGGGCGTGAGGGGGAGTGTTCCCGGAAAGCTGCGGCGATGGAGCTGCGCTGCGCCCCGCCGCCCTAGGAGTTGAGAAAGAAAACAGGAAACGTGGTGGCCGAGCACCCGGCTGCGGCTGATTCATTCGCTTCAAGTGCGGCGCAGAAGGCTCGGCAGGCAGGGCGGGCGCGGGGCCGCAGCTCCGGGCCGGGGACCGAAGAGACCCGGCTGTGGACCTGACGCTCCTCTGCGGGGCAGGCACCCGAGTGCGCGCGCCACCCCCTTGCCATCCAGTAGAGCTGGGCTCCTGGGCTGGAACTCGGGCCGCCGCACCTTCGAAAAGTCGCATCGTGGTTTTTCCGCCCGTGTGAAAGTTGGCTCGGCGCTCTTTGCGCGCCCTCCCTGGAGGCCGACCCGAGACGCCAAGCTGGAGAGACCGTGCCTCCCCGAGGTCGGCCGCCCAGCCAGCAGAGCCTCCGCTCCCGTCACGCTGCCTGGCTGGGCAATATGAAGGAGCAGCCCTCATGTGCCGGCACCGGGCATCCGAGCATGGCGGGGTATGGCAGGATGGCCCCCTTTGAACTCGCTAGTGGCCCTGTGAAGCGCTTGAGAACTGAGTCCCCCTTTCCCTGTCTCTTCGCAGAGGAGGCCTACCAGAAACTGGCCAGCGAGACCCTGGAGGAGCTGGACTGGTGTCTGGACCAGCTAGAGACCCTACAGACCAGGCATTCCGTCAGTGAGATGGCCTCCAACAAGGTAAGCCCGGGTTCTGCTGTCACCGATGCCGCTAGGCTGCTGATTCCCGCGCTGGCGAGGCCACTAGTACTGGTGGCCCTGGGAAACAGAGTGAGAGGTTTTCAGGCTTACTGCATGTTGCCTATTCTGCTCCCTTAGAAGGAGGTTCCTGTTTCCATGCCTTGCCTCTCCTAGTCACTCCCGATAAACATTTTGCAAAAGCAATTTGACGTAGTTTAAGTACCTCCCAAGGCACAGGGTTTCTAAGTGACACTGTGCCCTTGCAGCAGAAGCCCAGTAGGGTCCATTGGCATTGCATATTTAAAGGTGTTCTTGGGATTCCCGGTTGAAAATAAGAAATTGGTGGCTGTCTGTGCAATCACTTGAATGTCACTACCTAGGGCACTCAAACTCAGAAGAGTTCATCGAACTTGGAACCTTCACCTTGATTCATCTAGTTGTCAGGGTACCCCACAAGAACTGAGCTTTTATATATTCAGTTGGCCATACACATCCACAGGAAACATTAACAGAGTTAGAAGGTTTACTATGATCATTACTTTTGTTTCCATTAATCTTGGAGAGAAAGCCCAGCTTTTTGAGGTCATTTAGTTACAAGGAGGCTTCAACTAGGCATCTGTGCCATATGTGCTAAGGTGCTGGTCTTGGCAGTTAGTGGAGTTTTGAGGGCTCAGAAGTAACCTTCAGCCTGGGACAGCCTTAAAATAGCACGGAAAGCAAGGTATAGTTTTTTTCAGTTTTGCTCTATTTTTTTGGATTTCCTGTTCTTTTTGTCTTTAGTTATGCAAGGAGATCATTGGAATTATGTATGTTTTTAATGACTATTTGAGGGACAGGAAAGGAGGCATGTGCATGTCGTATGCAGTTGGCTGAAGGATTCAGCCAGTAAGGACCGGTAATGTTGTGTGACAATTGATAATAGTTGCCTCTTCAAGATATTTAGGTATTTTTGGCCACCTATGTACAAGGTCAAGAAGGTTATTATCTTACAATTCATCTGTGTGCACATATCTTTCAATGAGTGATGCTTTTTTTTTTTTTTCTAGCTTACTATGGTTTTTTCCCACCTGTTTTGTTCTCATGCAGTTTTTACAAAAATGCCATAGCATAACAGCCATTTGATTGTCTCATCTGTTAACATTGCTTTTGGAGATAGCATTGTTGCTTAACTGAAAAGTTGGCTTCAAATAAATAAAAGGGGTGCTGTGGATACAGCCAGTAGATACTAACCTACCCCTGTGCACACTGACCTACCCATTTCCACACTGATGATCAATTGTTTTTTTTTTTTTTGTTTGTTTTTTTTTTTTTTTGTTTGTTTTTTTTTTTTTTGTCATTTGTGCCTCATTTCTAAATTTGGCACAGCTCTTCATCAGAATGACCAATTATTGCTCTCTTATTGGGACTCTTACTCCGTGCTGTGGCATTAGGTACCTTTGTTCTCATTTTGTTATTTAGAAAGAACAAATTCTTAGTTTTATAAAATATAGTTTATTTTTCATAATTTGATTCTTAATAGCTGTAGACATGCTGAATATGTCCATTGTCTTTACTGCTAAATGGGAACACTTTGCTGTGGACCTGAGTTCTTAATTCTATTGTGTGGTTGATTCTGTGTAAGAAAAGAAGAGCAGAATCAAAAGCCACTTAGCAATGTGCAAGCATTAGTGTATGTTTTCAAGATGATTTGACAGTAGTTTTTCAGCTAAGTGAATTTGAGCAGCTAGGTTACTTTTCCTAAAATCCATAATGATGAGACCTATGTTCTAATAATGTATTGTAAATGACTTCAGCTGTCAAGGAATTCGTCTATACATTTGAGTTAAAAAAAATTTTAGGTCATAATCATTGCCTAAAATGATTCCTTTCTTTTAAAGGTACCAGATAAGACAGTGGTTTTTAAACAATAATCTTTATTATGAAGGCCCCCAATTAGACTTTGAGTTAATTTACAGGTTAATAGAAGAGGTTGGTCTATTTGGTTAAAGTGAAATCCAGTTAAAGTGAGAAGATAGTTTTTTCAACAAGTAGTCATTCTAGCAATGTTTATGTCTTGTGGCTGAAAAATTGCAATATTTTTTCCTAGTCTAGGACAGAGCTAAATTGAAAAATTATTGCTGTCACACTAATTTTTAACATTAAACTTAGCTCAGCTTAAGCTGTTGCTTAAACTTTGAATGTCCAAGCCATTCACATCTTCTTTAACTTATTTATATCTAAATAAGTGCTAAGCTTACATGACTTTTTGTAGACAAAAATGGGTTAGCATAGAAAGAAGAAAAGCTCTTCCTAAAGGTTGTAAAGTTACTATTCTTCTTGATAACAAGGGCATGGATAAGCCACATCCACAAAAGCTGTAAACCGAGTTGGAACAGCTGATCCCAAGGTTCCTGTGAATGTTGCCACACCTTCTGTCTGAACTGGAAATGTGTACAGCTTGCATCATCTCCACTCAGTTATTTGATATTTCTTTAGTATGAATGAATGAGTCAGAAACACTGCTTTTCAGTTGTTAGTTTTATTACCATCCATTCTTTTTACATGTAAGTGTTTGAACCAACTGATATTTTCAGTTTATTCTCTTTTTGCCTTTGAAAAATTATGACAGTTTTCTTTGTCCTCTCTTGAGGTTTTAAAAAATATACTCTGAGTGAAAAGTACAATAAAAATACTAGTGAGAGATCAGGATTTTTAAACAGTGATAGAAAATAATTACGGAGATGGATTTAGGTATTAGGAAGGAGGAAATTGATTCCTCAAACCCATTTAACAAATTGGGCTAACACATTATTTCTATGTTTCTTAGACTTCTCAATAAAAGGCCTCATAACCAATTAGCAGTTTTTAAATGATGTTCTAGGAGCAACTAGCTGTATTTCCTGTATTGGTATTATAATGTCACTTGCTTGTTGATGGCATTGAAGCAGGAAAATTATTGAATTCTTGGCCAAAGCTAGGGTTGGTTGTAACACATGTAGGATGCTTGTACCAAGTGGGGTAAGAGATTCCAGATGGCATTTAATTTGAGTGATTAAATCTACAGCATTTACCCTTATAAGCACATTAATCTGCCTGAGATTTGTACAGATTTCCTTTGGAACCTCATTGCTACAATCGAGGGTAATTTTAGTGAGGTCTCAAAGCTTTGGAGGCAGGCAGACCTGGAAGTTGAATTATTGTTTTGTTTCTTGCTGATAGAGTTACATTAGAGAAATGACTTCAACTTTTTTAGCTTCAGTTTCCTTAGCATAAAATGGGCATCATAAAAACTATTTTGAAAGATCAGTGTAAGAGTTCATAAGAATATATATAAAAGAGCTAGTATCTGACAATAGTAGGCACTGTCTGTTGTTATTGCTATTATTTGGGTTTTAGGTCAAACTTCATTGGTTGCCTACATGGCTAAAATGTCTTTTTACCATTCAGCTGTAATTTATACTAGACGTTTTAAGTTTCATGGATTTTTATAAGTCTTAGATAACAGTCTATTGCACACATTTCTGTATCACAAAAATGCTTAAGTTATATTTACAGGTTTTTTTTTGGTATAATACAGACATGAACATTCTGAAGTTCTAATTAGAGGTTTAGGCTTTTCTTAAATTCCAGTTACAAAATGCCAGACAGAAGAGCTAAGTACTTTTACTGTTTTACTCTAAAACTGAAAACGCAGACCTTACTAATTTTTACAACATGTAAAATGTAATATGGGTTGGTGGGCAAAGTGCCTTTTAAGTAAAACACCTTTAAAGCAGAATAGTTTCACGGTGTTTTTGGTTACCTTTCTCTCATGGAAAGTTTATCAAGGATGGAAGTTAGTGGATTGGAGAGCAGGACAGGGGTCTGGGCCTCAAGGCTTTCAAGGATTGTGCTGTGGAACCCTGTAACTTTATCCTCTTGTGACCTAATAATGCACATTTCACCAGGCCTTCTATGTAAGTTCAGTGAGGTTCAAAGGAGAAAACGAAATCATTTTGAGTTCTCCCCAAGACATATCACTAGAAAAATGTATTTTGTTTCTGCTCTCTAATTTTGGGGGCAGTTTGAGGTTTGGCATGGCTGGAAATGACTGTGTTTCAAGCTGAAAGTCTGTCTTGAAGTTAGAATCCAGCCTCTTTCTAAGAGACTTCAGATTTTTCTATAGTTCATTCCAAATGTACTTAGACCAGCTTTACAAATGTGGTCATGACTTCTTTATGGAATTTATTTTGTGTGTTCAACTTTTGGCAAACCTCTCTAGCATGTTTCTGTTGCCTATAAATTAAATTGCTTTTCTGGGGTGCTTTGTGTTAGTGCTTTCTCTGGCTGCTCCCCCTACTGCTTTGTAATAGTCAGTGCAGAACATATAGTAGCACTTTTTGTTGATGTATTTTCTTCTGGACAAGAGGGGTGTTGTAATAAATATAGGATCTTCATAGAGGTGGCTAAATCTTAAGCTGTTTCCGCATTATGCAAGTGCAGCGTAACTCAGAATAGAAATAAATGTTAAACTTTTGCTAAGAAGGAAACTAAGTTAATTGGAAAAGGCATTTTAGTTTTATGGAGGGAAAATACCCTCAGTTGTTTTCTACATTAACATATTAAATCTTAGATTTAACAATTGTTGAGTTAATATGCCTAAATAAAAAGTTTAAATTTCAGAAGAAAATATCTTTTATAGTTATAGAAAATCAACATTTAGATGTTTTGAGTTCGATACCTGCTTTTTCATCTACTTAAGAAAGGCAGATTTGGGAAAGATTTATGTAGCTTACATATAGTACCTAAAAGTTGATATGAAGGATTGAGAATCATATAATTGCTGTTAGAAAAAATAGTTTCTTTTCTTTTAAGCAATAATAGAAGAGGGAAACAGTTTTAAAGGAAATTTTTCTTTCACTGAAAAGTAGAGCCCTTGACTTTAACTTAGCATAAAACTAAGGATTAAAAAAACTTTTGTCTCTATTGTCATCTGTTCGGTTCCTGTGTCAGTATTTAGTGACAGTAAGTTTAATTATTCC